TCCTTCTGCTAGCTTGCGTTTGTTTTTCTTTTTCTAGTTCCTTAAGTTGTGAAGTTAGGTTGTTGATTTGAGATATTTCTTTTTTTGGGGGGCGGGAGAGGGAGAGATTCGCCCTGAGCTAACATCTGTGCCCATCTTCCTCTGCTTTTCTGTGGGATGCAGCATGGCCAAGTGGAGTAGGTCCACACCTGGGATCCAAACCCGTGATCCCCAGGCTGCCGAACTGGAATGTACAGAACTTTAACCACTCGGCCACAGGGCCGGTCCGCTTTTGTTTTTAATGTAAGTATTTATAGCTATAAATTTCCCCCTTAGCACTGATTTCACTGTATCCCATAAGTTTTGGTATGTTGTGTTTTTGTTTTCATTCACCTCTGAGTATTTTCTAATTTCTTCTTTGACCCGTTGATTGTTTAAGAGTGTGTTTCCAAAACGTGTATTTCCAAAATTTCCAAAATTTGTGAATTTTCTGAATTCTTAGAGAGTTTTGGCCATTATATTTCTTCACATATTCTCTCTTCTCCTCCTGGGACTTCCCCATGCATATGTTGGTCATCAATGGTGTCCCACAGCTGCTGTAGGCTCTGTCTACGTTTCTTCTTTTTTCTTTCTGTTCTTCAGACACTATAACTTCCATTGTCTTATCTTCAGGTTCACTGATTCTTTCTTCTGTCTGCTCAGATCTTCCTTTGACTCCTTCTAGTAAACGTTTCATTTCAGTTATTGTACTTTTCAGCTTTCTTTCTACAGAATTTCTTTTTTGTGCCTTTTGAGGTTTTCTATCTCTTTATTCATATTTGCATGTTGTTCATACATCATTTTCTTGACTTTCTCCATCTTCCTTCAGTCTCTGAGCATCTTTAAGACAGTTGTTTGAAAGTCTTCATCTCTTGGATCCACCATCAGGTCCTTTCGTGGGACAGTTTCTGCTGGGCTATGTTTTTCCTTTGAATGGGCCATACTTTCCTGTTTCTTTGTAGCTTTGTGATTCTTTGTTGAAAACTGACATTTGATTCTAGCAATGTGGTAAATGAAAATCAGATTCTCCACCTTCCCCAAGGTTTGCTGTTTTCTGTTCTCGTTTTTTATTCTAGGCTGTCTCTGTGCCCTGGGACAGCCTGACATGTGAACTTCAGGTCTTCTAGGGTCTTTCCTGAGTCTGTGCCTTCCCCTGGGCATGTGGAGAGGCCTTCTAATTTCCGCTTATATGTAGCTGCTTTTGAAAGTCCTAGTCTTCAACATCTGGCTCCCAAAAGGGGGAAAGAGAAAAACTGAAGGGTAGGGGGAAGGTGCGGCCCTTTGAATTCCCTGGGAGGCACTTCAACCAGAGGGGCAGGGGCTTGCAACAGTGGGGGAGGCCCAGCAACAATGGCTGCCACCTTTTTGTGTGCACATCTGTGGTCAGAAGCAGCAGTCAGAGCACAGATGCCTGAAACTGGAGCACAGGGTTCTTTATGCCCAGTCTAGCTCCCACAAAGTGTGTGCAGGCAGCCCCAGGATGGTGCACGGCTGCCTGCCACGTGGCTGAGGGGTGGAAGATGGGTAGCTGCTGCTGTTTTGAAGTGACCAAATTTTGAACTGACCAAAATTAACCACAATTTACCATCCATCCCTTCCCCTGGAGTCTGCAAGCCTTCAAGAGACTTGAGAGTTCTAATAATTACCTCAGACAGATTCTGCCAGTGTAACTGTCTCAATGAGCAGACAGATTTCTGGTGCTTCCTACTCTGCCTCTTCCCAGAACCCTCCCTGGGGCCCTTTATTTTAAAAAATATTGTGAAAAATTTCAAACCTAATCAAAAGCGAAGAGAATGGTGTAATGAATCCTTAAGTACTGTCATGTGGTTTCAACAACGACCAACGAGCTGCTCCCTCATCTTGAATTTCCACCTGTGGTTTCTCGTCCACCTCTTCCCTGCCTTTCCTCCCATGGCAGGCTTCCAACTTGAGGTGTAAGCTTAAACCATGTGAGTCCCTGCCTTCTGCTCCAGCTCCTAGAACCAATGGGGTCCCTCCACATATCTGACTAAATCAACAAGCCCCCCTTTTCTATCTTCCTAATTTGAATAATTTTTATACTCTCTGCTCCTACCCCCCGACTCCTTTAAAAAAGAAAAAGGAAAAAGAAAGCACCAGTTAATCCTTCCCAATGGTTTGAAAATCTGATGAAAGCCACTCTCCATCACTCCAGAAAAAAAGGCACACACACAGCTTTATATGCCATCTCAGGAGGTTCATGGGCACCCTGAAGCTCTCCAAAGATCCCAGGTTAGGAACCCCAGTTTCAGTTTACTCTAAAAGGTAGCTCCCCCTCCCTAGGCCTCACCTGCTCTCTTGCCACGGTTCTCTTTCACAGATACATGAACGTAAGGCTGGGAGAGCATCCAGTCCTACCCCCCTTTTTTTTTTCAAAGATTTTATCTTTCCTTTTTCTTCCCAAAGCCCCCCGGTACACAGTTGTGCACTTCCAGCTGTGGGTCCCTCCAGCCGTGGCATGCAAGATGCCTCCCCAGCATGGCCCGACAAGCGGCGCCACGTCCGCACCCAGGATTTGAACTGGCGAAACCCCGGGCCGCCGGAGCAGAGTGCACGAACCCAACCACTCCACCACAGGGCCGGCCCCATTTCCACCCCCTTTTAATTGTGCTACTGAGGCAACTAGACACAAAGAACTAATGTGCTGGCCCCAAATCCTGAAGAGTGAGCAAGAGAACTAGATGCTTCAGCAACATTTTTCACTCTAACCTCACGCTACCTGTTTGAACATTTTCCTGCCCTTTTGAAGTGGATTAATACAAACGCCAAAATAGTTCTAAAACCCTCTCTAAAACTACCTTCTTCAGTACACCCTATTCTCTCTCCTCCCTTCTCTTTGTTCACCCAGCATTGGATTTTCACGAAATGCAAGGAGGAAAAATACTAATAGACTCAGAAATCAGATTGGAATTAATTGAAAAATTAATTCAAAATAACTTTTTTAAAGCATATTTTAAAATTTCATTTATTTATTTATTTTTGAGTACGACTAGCCCTGAGCTAACATCTGCTTCCAATCCTCCTCTTTTTGCTGAGGAAGACTGGCCCTGAGCTCACATCCGTGCCCCTCTTCCTCTACTTTATATGTGGGACGCCTCCCACAGCATGGCTTGCCAAGCGGTGCCATGTCCGCACCCAGGATCCGAACCCGTGAACCCCGGGCTGCTGAAGCGGAACATGAGCACTTACCCACTGCATCACCTGGCCGACCCTTCAAAATAACTTTTTTACCAAGCTTATTTTAACTACAAAGGTGTCCATACTTCTCTGTTGGGGTTCAGTTTGTTTGGCTCTGTTACTTGCTCATTCCGGGGGAATCTCTGGGAGACCCGTCAGCTAACTCCCACTCACACTGTGTAGAAGGTTGGGTTGAGTCCTTGGCGGTTTCCCTGCAGCGGTCTCCCCAGTTCTTCTTCTAAGGCTGGACCTCAACTGTGGCCGCACATCAGACTCGCCCGTAGAGTTCTTAAAATTAAGAAAAGGGGGGAGTCAGATGAGCACACTCCAGGTGCACTGCCCTCGGGTTCAGACTCCTGGATGCGCAGCCAGGGATGGGAACCCTGCTCTGAAGCTGGGTGCAAGGAATTCACGTTATCACTAGAGGTGAATGCTGGGAGAACACTGAAGTTGTTCCACAGCTTGTAGTTCAATAGTAGAGAGAGAGATTTTGTCTTGTTGAAAAAAAAAGCAGGAAAATTTACAAGGGACTTGGCAAATGTAAGCCATCCTGGAGGAATATTTAAAATATGCTACTTTTCTCCACTATTTAATTCCTAATGTAGCATAAACTTCTTGGCTTAGCTGGGATATGGTTTTAGGTAATACATATTTTTTAATATACATATTTTTATCTTATTTTTGTTATATTATATAAGTAATACATATACTTTGTAAACATTTTTTTAACTTATAGAAGAATGCAAAGCGAAATTCGAGAGGAAACCAGTGAGCAGATTCTTATGTATCCTTCTAGAAATTAGCTATCCACACCAAGTCTGCATATAGGATACGTTAGTATTTGTCTGTGATGGGCTCAGGACTCACAGGTCTGGAGATTAGCATGAAGGCACGTTTCCTTTACCTCCATCCTGCCCACAGGGTTAACAGGAAACCCAGTCTTTGACCAGGTTCCCCTCCCAAATAATGCTAAGAAGCCCTGGGAACATTCTCCTGTCCCATAGGACCGTCATGTCATTGCATCTGGCTCCAGGGGGTGACCTCTGGGTGAATATCTCCTGAGACGTCAGGACTGGCCTCCAATCCTCCCCCCTCTTCCAGGTGGCCCTTGAGCTTGTTTCTCCTACCTGTAATCCAGGCTCCCGAGTTCTTAGGCCACGAGAGAAAGGAGTATGTCTTAACTTCGATCAAAGCCCACTGTGACTGTCCCCCTCCAGAGGACAATGGGAATGTCCACTCCCTTGAGGGAAAGCCTTTACCTTTTTACTCTGGAAAGTTGGTTTTGACCCAAATCAGAACGCAGGACATTTTCCTCAGTCTGGATTCTTCAGTCTTGGAAGAAAATGGTGTGTGACAGTAAGGGTCTCCTGTGGACCACTGTGGTCACACCTAGCCACAACTGCATCTCTGTAGAGGGTTTGCCCCTGGTGCTTCATTCCCGGAAGATCCTTCTTTGTTTTCCAGAATAGAACTTGCAGCCCTGCAGATGAATTCAGTTTCTACCTCCTGCAAATAAGCCTCTTCTCTCCCTCTGCAGATGCTTCCAGAGATTTTAGGGCCAATATGTACTCAATGCTCACGTTCTAGTTACTAAGTTCTTGCTCACCACAAGCACTCTCTTCAAGGGAACTTCCTGTAATCAGCCCTAGGATGATGACAGCTGGGGTTTTGTTCACCTCTCACTACATCTAGGAATGTGTGCCATCTTGCTAGATACATAGACAGAGGATTCAGGCACTGTATTTCTAAATGGTAAAAGAAACTCTATCTGTGCTATTTTATGTTGCTTTTTTTTTTTTTTTAACAGGACTTTACTGGTACAATTTGAATGGAAAGGAGTCTGGTGAGGGTGGCTGTCTGGCCGCCAAGACAGGATAACATCTCTGGTCTTAGAAAAGTTTATGACAAGAGCCTTGTTCCAGAATGTGGTCCTCAATTTTATAAACTCAGAAACTTAAATGTTAGCACACATAGACTCAATGGGACTCTAATGGCTGATGAACGCCAATTAATTAACTTGCAATGGGAAACATAACTACAAGCAGACCCCAAATCCATGTTTGCTGGTTAGCACATTTTCTGTCTATGGGAAACTTTTTACGCAAAGCCAAATTATAATCAGAAGGGTACTCAGTGAGAGCAAGCTCTAGAATAGTGAGTTTTCAACTAGGGAGAGTTAGCATCCTCTCGGGGATAGGTAGAGGGAGGGGTGCTTTTAGGGGAATCTGCGTGTGGTGTTTTTTTCTTTTTTAGCGTATGTCATTAGAAATGGCATACCCAATATAATAATTCAGTAATATATTTCAGGGGGAAATTTAAACCCTATTCATTCATAATGAAAATTATAAAAAGCAAAGCTCAACAGAATCTTCTTGGCTGGTAACACGCATCTTGGAGGGTGGGAAGGCACAAATCAGACTCTCTGGAGGGTCTAAGATTTTTTGTTTCTGAAAATGAGGCAAGAAAACATTGTTCACTGAGGCAAAAGCCATACATGAGGCAACTTACATTTTCAGCATCCAAATCAAAGTCTCTGTTCTCAAGTTCTTTCTCACTAAACAGTTTTGTGAAGAGTAGAGTCATATTTAGTTTATTAGTCACTCACTGTGGGAACTGATGTAGAAATGTATCTGTGCTACTTATGAAGCATTATGAACTGTAGAGAACACAGGATAACACTGTAAAGTGCCACTACAGTCTGGGGAGCAGATGCTGCAGCCAGGCCAAACCACCGTGCAGTTACCGCGGACATCTGACGGTCTCAGCGTGAATCTTTCTCCTCTCCTCCTTCCCCAAAGATCTTCTGTTCATCTGGGGATTACTATGGTTCCTGGGAAGAGGAACAAAAACTCTTGTTCTAGCACATTCCAACCCCTTGAACATGGCAATTGGTTTATAACCTAAACCAGTCCAATCAGAGTGAATCTGAAAACCTTTTCTACGAAGATGCTGGGACAAAGATGGGCTCACTTTTCAGGTGCCTTTGGCAGCCATCTTTGCCCATGAGGAGGGCCTAAAATAGGAGAATGCCAACACCAAGACAGTCAGAGAAACAGAAAGATACGAGGTCACTGGGCCCATCACTGGGCCCCTGGATCAAGTTTGCCTGAAACCAACACTACTCTGGACTTGACAGTTATTTGTACCAATGAATTCCTTTTCCTGTTTCCGCCATTTTTAGTTGTAGTTGAAAGCACTAGGGGGTGGATCAGGGCACTGCTGAATCTGGGTTGTTTGAATTTCTTGTTCTCCAACAGGCTCAAATATCAGTCAGGGAAGCAAGTCACAAAGAAAAAACTCCAGTAACTGTCATGCTCTTAACTTTTGCTGTACATCAGGATCACGTGGACAGCTTTTACAAATCTCAGGCCAATTAAATGAGAATCTACGAAGGTGGCACTTAGGAAACAGAATTTTTAAAAACTCCTCAAGGGATTCCAAAGGGCAGCCTGGGCTGAGACCCACTGGTCTAAGCAATTATCTGGCTCTGTCCATTCTAAAGAATCTGCTGACTAAATGTCCTAAGTATGTCTTCCCACTAAAGGAAAAAAAGGCCGACCTGTAACTTGCTTTGTGAGGTTAATGCAAACCATACTGTGTGACAGAAAAGCAAAATTTATTTGGAGCCTTGTTTTACTTTTAAAATGCATGCAAATTTTGTACTCAACTCCATTTTATATTCCCTTCTCTCTCTCTCTCCCGTTCTCCCTTCAACATTTAATAGGAGCTTGCCATGTACCAGTCACAGTGACAAGACATCAGGGATACAGAGGAAAACAAGAAAAACACAGTTTCTACAATCCAGAAAAAAGAGGTAATTAAACCGAGTAATTACAACAAAACTTATTAAATTTATGCTAAGGGCAGCATGGGGCACTATGTAAACAGGACAGTGGCTCCTGACCTCCTGGAGGAAGTGATGTTTAAGCTGAAACCAGAGGAATGCATATGAGTTACTTGGTAGATGATGGAAGAGGACCCAGACAGTGGAAGTGAAGGAAATGAAGAACACAGCGTGGAAAGCGGAGAATGCAAGAGGGCGGGGTGGGGGTGGGGGGGTGGTGGTGGTGGCAGCTGGAGATAAAGGCAGGAGCCAGGACTCTATCCCAAAGCAATACAAATCAACTGAAGGGTGGTAAGCAGTCAAAGTATGTGACTCCTCTTTCTGGAAGATAATTCTGGCTGCCTTGTAGGGCACACAAGGGGATCGGGGAGCAGGGAGCTTAATAAGAGGGACTCAGGGAGACCCGTTAACTGGAGGCAGATACAGTAGCCTAGGCAAGAGCACTGAGACCGTGGGACTGGCGAGAAGTGGACTAATCTGAATGACCCTTAAGAAGGTGGAATCGATAGGACTTGGTAATTGACCTGCCGTGGTGAGTGAAGGGGAGAGAAGTCAACAGTGACACACGTTTCTGGTTTGAGCAACTGTGTAGATGGCAATGTCATTTCTGGGATAAAGAACTGGAAGAGGAGCAAGTTTGTAGGAGATCAGTTGAATTTTGTTCTTCTTAAGTTTGAAGTACTGTTAGACATCTAAGTGCAGACAGCTGATAGGGAGTTACACGTGTCTCACATTCCGGAGAGCAGTATGGACTAGACATCGATAGTTGATAGTCACCAGCAAATTGACGGTAAGTAAAGCAAGAGAATGAACCAAATTACCTGGTATGCGTCTGCAGAAAGACTGCCTTAGGACAAAGCTCTGGGGAAAACCTACAATTAAGAGGAAAGTAGAAGACAGTCTTGCAAAGAATGAGAACACATCACTAGAGATGCAGGAGGCAAAACAGCAGAGAGCTTGACAGAAAAGGAAAGGCTGGGGAGGGGTATGTTTTTTAGAGAGTGAGCAACCATGTCAAATGCTGCTGAAACATCTAGTAAGATGAGGACTGAAAAACGCATATTGGATTTAGCAACACACAAGATCCTGGAAATGTTACCAAGAGTGGCTTGGGGAGGGAAAGTGAAATTTTTCACAAGTTACTGAAATGGGGCTGAGAGAGAGAGGGTGGTAACTGGAAAAGGATGTGGGTCAAGGGATAATTAAGATGAGATAGACTGGAAAATGAGTTTTTTTTAATAGAAGGAAATCAGGAAGATGGAAAGCAGAAGATACAAAAGTGTCAGGATACTGGAAATCATGGGATCCAGAAACGTGAAGGGTGCCCCGTCTACTGGAATAGGAGAGAAAGAGGAGTATCGGTGCAGAGAACAGCGAGGATTGTAGGTTTGTTGGCGTAAGTGGAGAGAATTCCTATTTGATCACTTTTATTTGTTCTGTGAAGGAGACAGTCACTGACAGAGAATGAGAGGGGGTGGTGGGTGGGTCAGAGGTTTAGGGGAGTGGGGAGGGTTTGAAATAGTTGTTGAAAATGGGAGACAATTGACTAAGGAAACAGTAGGCTAGTCAGGCAGTGTTAAGGGCTTAATTGAGATTGATAACCATTAATGTACAAGCTTGATAGTCTGTGTAGTTCTGCATATTTTCTCCTGTAGGTCTTAGCAGCGCATGAACCAGCAAGAAAAAAGACAGACAGCTGAATTCATATATGGCAAGATAGGTGCAATGGAAGTTGCAACAGAAAGGACTTAGAATATTGGCAGTGATGGGCTGATTGACGTGACAGGTTGTGCATACAAGCTGGATAGGGAGGGAAATATAGAGAAGCAGAGGCTGTCAGATAGAGAGTAGAGTAAGAGAACTGAAGGTCCGTTTGAAGCTGAAGACTTGACCAATGGAAACAATTGTTGGAAGTAATTGACCAATGGGCTGGATTGATTTCAGAGGATGGGATGTCTGAAATTGTGATTTCAGAAATAGAATAGTTCAGGTGGGGACAAGGTCCAGGGTGTAGCAGTGGAAGCAAGTGGCTGAAACAGGGAAGGCCTTGGTAAATGAGATCAAGGAAAGGAGAAGCCATGGTGTTGGACGGATCACCCACTTACCCAGTTTGGAGGAAGGACTTGGTGGAGAACACTTGGAAGCTGAAGGTCCGACGCGATCTCCCTGCCGCCCACTCCTCTGATCACCTCTACCCTCACTTAACTGCAGCCACACCACCCTCCTTGCACCCCCTCAATCACACCAAGCTCAGTCCCACCTCAGGGCATTTGCATACACTTTCCTTCTGTCTGAATACTTGTCGTCCAAATACTCCACAGCTCACTCCCTCACTTCATTCAGGTTTCTGCTCCAACATCACCTCTTCAGAGCTGTCTCTGACCAGTCTACCTAAAATCGCAGCTCTCAACTTTGACCCCTAATCTGTTTTTATTTTTCTTCAGAGCATTTAGCACAACCTGAAATTACAGTACACATTTTCTTTATTATCCATCACCCCCCTAGAATGTAAGTTCAATGAGGGCAGTGATCTCGTCCCCACTGTCTTAGGACCTAAAACAGACCATAGAACAGAGTAGGTCCTCGATAAATACATGTCGGATGGATGGATGGACAGATGGATGGATGGACGGACAGAAAAGAGGCGGAATCCAGGAAGTAGAGGAAAGGCAGCTATTCATGATAAAGGGGGCATGCTGATTGGCATGGATTCTAGTGACCTAGGGCTTTAAAGCAAGGGTGAAAGCGGAAGTTTGAAAGGCACAGTGGGTACATGACACTGACATCCCCCATTCCTGAAATACCCAAAACTCCAGAGAACACCAGCCTCCACTAGAAAAGGCCAAAGGGACCGGGGTCCTGAGGGGACCAGATCTAAGGTTGCACGAACAGTGGTTCATCCCGCACGGGGCCCAGGAGCAGCAGCCACAGTCCACGCCACAGCTCACGCTTACAAAAGGCAGCCTCCGGTTCCCCGCGCCTGTGCCTTTGCTCAGGTTCCTCTCCTGCTTAAAAGGCCCGCCTTGCTGTATGCTCAGTCTTGCCCTTCTGTCAACGACTCACAACCATCCTTCTGACTACTCAGGCTGAAGCACTTGCTCCCTACTCTGAAGCTCCACAGAGTAAACTGTATATACTGTTCACTCATCTCTCTTATTTACTCATTCATTTTTTCATCCACTTCTTTAACTATGATGTGCCAGCTACTGTTCTAGGCATTATTTCATTTGATAATTACTGTTTTATGTTTTTATCTTATTTCTACAAGCAAACTGTAATATACCAACTAAAAAGATTACAGTGAAGTCACCAGATTATTTTAAGTTCTAATAGTTTAGACATGATAGAGAAGATACATAAAGCAAAGCAAAGGAATAGTAGAGCATTAAAAGGAAAATGCTAATTAAGGATGTTTGAATTTTTTCTCCCCAACCAGACTGTGAGGTCCTATGAATTTGTTGCAGTCAAACGACATCCTAAAATAATGCCTGACTTTCAGATGTATGACAATTTGCAGACCTATTTCACAAAAATCCCATTTTATGAAATAAAGTATGCAATTTTATAAAATTAATCTAATTGGATTGTTATCCTCTGTAGGATTTAGGGTTATTCAGAGGCTAACTTAAGCAGAGAATGAGTTTACTGGACATTAGGTAGCCTACAGAATCGAGGGGCGGCTCTGAGACTAGGTCCACAAAGCTCAAGAACGGGAGCATCTTCGTGAGGGCATGTAACAGGTCACTGCATCCTGCAAGGCTGCCACTAAGATGGATTTGTGTCAACCTTCTCTCTGTCTCCTCAGCTTTCAGGGTCCCAGGAGACAGACTTACAGCATCAGCATGAAGAGCAAAAGGCATAGTCTCTTGTCTGACAGCCCCAACGTGCAACTGGGCAGGGATTATTCCCCACATGTAAACTGGGGTCCAACTACCACAACAGCAAAAATGAGCCAGGGAAGCAAGCGCCGTCCCAACCCCCTAGAGTACTCACTCCCTCTCTTCCGGACGCAGAGCCCCTCATTTGGTGCCTCTCTTCCACGACCTCACCGCACTCTGGCTGAATCAGCGCTGTTTCCGTCCCTGCCATTTCTTGCGCCAGCTCTTGAGCTCCAGGAGGCAGCCGCATCGCCAGGAACACGGCGTCCTAGAGACCCTCAGGGCGTGATTTCAAAATCGGTTCAGATATATTCTGGGCAGTGAACTTAAGCACAAGCAAGTACCTTTTTCTTCTATTCCACTGTAGACAACTTTTCCAAATTTTTAAGTTTTAACAGTTTAATTTTTAATAGTTTTACCTTTCAAATGAATATGGAGAGACACAAGTCCTCCTTAGTTGCCTTCCTATCTTCTCTAAATCTACAAAATGCCCCCAGAACATCCCTCATTTTAGTAGGAGATCTTTTAAATTAAAAAACGATGTAATACTAATCTTCTTTGAAGCTGACTTCGGCTAAGAGTCTCTTCCACAGTTTGGCTGACCGGCTCCCTCCCTGCTACAACTTTGGAATAAGACTCAAAATAAAACACTCAGTTCACTGGAGAGTAACTCTACTAATAACTGACTAAGAAGAAATTGCTCTCAGACTTTTCTAACTTGTACCTGGGAAGATAATCCTGGAAAACCATCATTGTAGAAAACACATTACTAAATCTATCAGAGGTTCTATAAACACTAAAAAATAAAATGCAACAGATTAATTCCATAGTAAGACCAGGAATAAGACTCAACCAAATACTGTAAAAAGCAAGGGAGTATCCATACAATAGAATATTATTCAGTCATAAAAAGGGTATGAATACTAATGCATGCTACAACGTGAACCTTGAAAACATTATGCTACGTGAAAGAAGCCAGTCACAAAGCCATATATTGTATAATTCTACTTACATGAAATGGCCGGAAGAGGCAAATCCACAGAAAGTGGATTAGTGGTTGCGAGGGGCTGCAGGGAGGGGGAAATGCAGTGACTGCTGACAGACGTGTGTTTCTTCTGGGAGGGATGAAAATGTTCTGTAATCAGATAGTGGTGACGGTTGCATAACTTTGTGACCATACTAAAACCACTGAATTGTACACTTTGAAAAGGGTGAATTTTATGTTCTGTGAATTATTTCTCAAAAATAAATTTTTTTAAGGGAAGGAGGAGTCTTAATGAGAGATTTGGCATGAAAAGATATTGTTCTAAGGGCCCAAGAAAGGCATGGAATTTGGTATTTATGTCTAGTCAAAAACAAAGAGTGGAAGAAAAAAGCATAGAAAAGAATATCCAACAATTACATCCTTAAGCGTCTAAAGATTTAAAAAAAAAAGTTTTAATTACATTGCTCACATTGTGAGACAAATCATTTTCGCCTCTTTGGAAAGCATATTATGACTTGCTCATTTGTTTTTTGGGTACCGAAAAAAATCGCCAGCAGTCTTTCTTAGTTCTGAGTCTGTGAGCTGTGCAACAGTCTCAGCTGCAAATGAAGCAATTTTGTTATGCTGCAGCACTTCAACTCATTTAAGCTTTGTAAGAACTTTTTATTCGGAATAAAAGCATAGTTTGCAGACCGTGCCAGGAAATCATATTCCAATCATCTACATTTGCCCCAGTGAAACTCAGACTTCCTTGGATTTGCTTTTCCTCATTCTCTGAATGTTAATCTGTGTGTTTTTAGTCTCTGAGTTAACTGAGAAGGCTTTTCGTTCTGTGAACTAAGCACATTCCTTCAAAACCACAGGCATCCACTTCTCTTTGGATTTATGACAATCACAACATTGGCATGCAGGTAAAAAAACTCCGTCTGCTTTCCCATCACACCTCTGGTTACCTCAGGGAACCCCACTTCAACGGCAAAGGAGGAGGGAGACTTTCTCCATCCTAACCCCGTCCGAGCATTCCTCAGCATTTTGTAGTGCGCTGTCCTTTCCTCTGTACATTTCTACAGCTCCAGCCATTGAATCATATTAGAGTTTTGCCTTCTGGAAGAAGGTGGAGTTTCAAGGAAAAGCAGATCAATAGACAGCAGCCTGGAGGAATCTCCCTTCTTCAGAACAGCCACCTTAGGAGATTCCTTCCTGCAGCCTCACGAGTTTATGGGTTAAATTATTTTCAAGGAGGGAATGGCCCAACAGCATTCTAAACTGAGATTAAGACTTTATCTTTTGCTCAACGCACAACATGGATCACTCTAAGCACTTAACAAATATTTAACAAAACTGAGTCAGTACCATAGTAAAAAAGTTAGAAAAGGTGAGGTTTTATTTCCCCCCGAGGAAGATTCACCCTGAACTAACATCTGTTGCCAATCTTTCTCTTTTTTTATGTGAGCCGCTACCACTGCATGGCCACCAACAGATGAGTGGTGTAGGTCCTCGCCTGGGATCTGAACCCCAGCCACTGAAGTGGGGCTCACCGAACTTACCCATTAGGCCATGGGGCCGGCCCAGAAAAGGTTTTAAAATCTGCTTTGTTTTTCCTATCAACACAATGCCATACATAAGTGGGCGGATTATAGTAAGAGTAAAAAAAATTAAGAGGGGCTGGCCCCGTGGCCGAGTGGTTAAGTTTGCGCACTCTGCTGCAGGCGGCCCAGTGTTTCGTTGGTTCAAATCCTGGGCGAGGACATGGCACTGCTCATCAAACCACGCTGAGGCAGCGTCCCACATGCCACAACTAGAAGGACCCACAATGAAGAATATACAACTATGTACCGGGGGGCTTTGGGGAGAAAAAGGAAAAAAATAAAATCTTTAAAAAAAAAAAAAGAAAAATTAAGAATTAAAGAGGTAAAAGACCTCATACGCTTTGTGAGAAAGAGCAAAAATCCTTTTTTTCTGTGTTGCCTTTCTTTTTAGCTGGTTGTTGGGCAGACTATTCTGCAAGAGAAGATATGACAATTGCAAAAGAGGAAAATGAAAATTGTAGTCTTTGCAACTAGAAAGTGTCAATTTAGGCTCAAGCACAATAAATGACAGTGGCCTCTTACTCTGCTGGCCACATAACTAGTAATATTTCTGATGATAACAAACAGAATTAACACTATAATTATTTTAATAATTCATGTTATAAAAATGCAGACATTTGTATTCCCGATGCTCCTTTTTACTTTAAGCCCATTAAAGAAATACAATTACTTTTCCTGTATTTCCCCATTATGCTAATTAGAACACTATGGACTCATGGCTATCAAGCATAACTAAACTGCTTTGAGTTCCTGGGCAGAGAGTCATGGTACTATGTAAACGTAATCAAACAGCCATTACTATTCCGTGATCAAACTGTTACATATATAGTTTTTTGCCATAAAGTATAGCATTGCTTTCTCATCTCCATGGTATACTGTTTTACAAAGCTGAGAAATATGGGCTTATTCTGCTTTTATAATTAAAACATCACTTTCAACGTTTGCAAAGCTCACTGAACTAACCACATCAATGATGGAGTCGGGCTTGCTTGTTTTGTTTTTAAGGAAAGTATTTAAGTTTGAACATAAGAGTCATGGCGGTTTTAAAACTGAACATATTTAAACCAGAGACAACGCAGTACAAAATCCTTTTCACCAAAATATTTTCCACCATGCATGAAAGAAAGGAAAAGAGATGAGAGAAACCTAAGATTATGGAAAATGTGGAAGGTAAGCTAAGAAGGAACTTAATCAAATATATACTTTAAAAAATAAGTCCAGAGAAGAGTGACTAAATGATAGCAGGAAGGCTTCAACAGCAGCCGGCAGAACTTCCTGACTGTAAGGGCTGTGAGAAACCACAGAGAAGTTTTCCGTGTTTTCCTTTGGAGATGAAAAACAAGATAGACAATTCTCCATTTAGATGTGCTATTATCTAGAAAAAAAGAACTGCCTTAGATAGTCTCGAGATTCCCATGCTTCTTTCACTAGCATGGAGGAAAAAAAGATGGAAGAAAGGGACTCAAGACTAAGCCCAGAGGCAAAACCCTCAGCCTGTCCACCTGAGTGCTTTGGGGACGGAGTAGTTTTGAACAGCTGAGTTTTCTGGAGAGCTATGTGTATATCATTCTAAGAATTAAAATTTTGGATGAAAATATTACCAAAAATGTATTATATTCCCTGATCTTTTTTCTTCTTCCTTCAGACTTCAAAGTTTTGGGGATTTTTTTACTGAGGAAGACTCGCCCTAAGCTGGCATCCACTGCCAATCTTCCTCTTTTTGTATGTGAGCTGCCACCACAGCATGGCCACTGACAGATGAGTGGTATGGGTCCCTCCCTGGGAACCGAACCCAGGCCACCGAAGCAGACCACACAGAACTTAACCACTAGGCCACCGGAGCTGGCTCTCAAATTTTTTTTTAAATATTAGGAAAGATTCAAACTCATTATAGAAATTAAGAAGGAAAAGAAACCGTCATAATTCTACCATCCAGAAACCAAGTAACATTCTTTTTTTTTTTTTTGATGAAGATTGGCCCTGAGCTAACATCCATGCCCATCTTTCTATACTTTATATGTGGGATGCCTGCCACAGCATGGCTTGACAAGTGGTGCATAGGTCTGCACCTGGGATCCAAACTGGCGAACCCTGGGCCACCAAAGTGGAACGTGTGAACTTAACCACTGCACCACTGGGCTGGCTCCTCTTTCAGTTTCTTAAACAGAGTATACTGGACATAATTTAAGGCTATAAAATAATGAGATCCTCAGTCTAGAAGAGTATTTTCTAAAGCCTGGTACTATGTTAGACATTCTATATACATAGTCTCAATTAGTCCCTGTAAGCCAAAGAGGTAGGTGTTATTATTTCTGTCTTAGAGAGGAAGAAAATAAGGCTTTGGGAATTTATCAAGGACCCATAAAAAGCCACAGAGCCTAAATCCAAACCCTTGTCCAGCTTCAAAGTCTGACCTCTTAACCTTCTCCTAGGATTATAACCTGAAAGGCCACATACTGCTATAAATTTTAAGGGCTCCCCACATGCATCCTTTACACTTTTTTTTTTTTTTTTTTTGGTGAGGAAGATTGCCCCTAAGCTAACATCTGTGCCAATATTCCTCCATTTTTATATGTGGGATGCCACCTCAGCATAGCCTGACAAGTGGTGTGTAGCTCTGTGCCTGGGATCTGAACCCACAAACCCCGGGCCACCAAAATGGAGAGTGTGAACTTAACCACTATACCACCAGGCCAGTGCCTACACACACTTTTAACGATTTTTCAAACTTTCCTTGATGTTCGGTCCTCATTTTTCAGTTTTCAAAGAAGGTATATTTTCTTCTTATGGTATACCCATCACCTTTCCAGTTTGCTGCTTTACATTTACTTAACCTTGGAAACATCAATAACACAACAAGTTCACTGAAATCTTGCGAAAAACAATGGAGACTTCCAATGAGTGAAGTATATATAGATGCATACACTGGTTATTCCTACTCACAGCTCTGTTCTCAGGCTTCGAGACATGAAGGATAGGACACAAGTCTAAAGATGCATCAGCCAATCCTGAAAAATCAGCATACTCACAATCCAAAATATTTTAATAACAATTTAGATAGTTACAGATGGAAAGGCACATTACCCAGAGCCAAGAAGCCTGGTCATACGGGAGAGCAGAACAGTGACTGCATTGGCAGAAAGTAGATTAATAGAGAAGCTACAAAAAATTACATGTGCCCAAAACAAGCAAGGCAGAGGAATCCAGAGGGTATGGAATGTTTCAACAAGAAAAGGAAGAGGCTCGAAAAGGTGAAGAAGGCAGAACATCAAAAAGAATATGGAGTACAGAGGAAGGAGGCCAGGGGAGTTTGACACAAACAAAGACGACCACATGCCGTCTTGTTCTGACCAGGGTAAGAACAGTGGGTACAGAGGGAAGAGAGAGGCTGCCCTTGACGACATGGGGCTCTTCTTTCCATCTGGGCTGGGGCCGGGCCTGCTTGTCTTCCACCAAATGTGGACAAATGAGAAGCCTCACAGAGCTATCTTTATCACATATAAGCTTGGCAGGCATGTTGCTTTTAAACTCAACCACATATGCTACTATTTCATATAATAC